GTTTTCTCTGTTTCGTGAGCTACGGAAGGGTACCGAGCAGGACACGGAAAAGGATCACGTTCGAGAACCGGACATTTTCCTTACAAATGACTCTAGGAAACGACACGCCCCTTGTCGTAAAGGCACGTAACACGCGTTCCTATTTACTTTAACAGCGTTTAGACGCGCCGAAAACGGGGACGCGTTTCGTTGCACCTATGACACGCACTGGTTATCTTGAAATAGGGTGCTAGGTTCATCCGTCTTGAGGTATCTTCGAGAACTCGATTTCCACCCCTTTCCTTTTCCTCCGGCAAATGTTTTCGAAACGAGGCACTTAAGTGATTAGAACGAACGTCGAACAAGCGTGAAAACTGACACGCGCGCCTGTTACGCGTTAATTTATCGCGTGCGTATCGCGTTCTCGATTCATCGATAGAGAACAAGCACGGTGAAACTGCTCCAAGGGTTTTTAATTCGTGCAATTTCTACTTGCAATAGAAGAATTATGCAATTCGTAACTAAAACAACGCTGGTCCGATTTTCCCCACTTTTTAGACGATAAAGCACCGTAATAACGGTAACAGTAAATAGTCTCGTCATAATTTAATTAGATACGTTTAGAATTATTATATAATACGATGAACGTCTCGTTCGAGAAAATGGAAATACATTGGACCGATATAGAAAGATGCTTCGACGACGGTCGCTTTTGTCACGATGGATCGACGATTATGGAAATCCTAGTTTCTCAAGGAAGTTATCGAGAAAGGGGTGTAATATTGATTTTTGAATCTCTCGTGAGACATGCGGGTACCGTAACGTAATATGTATTGGGATACGTTCGACGGATATAGACGAACAATTTGCCAGCATCCGAACTACGGAGTCAAATTACACCTGTACGCGTGTAAATCGTTACGTTTTGATCAAGATCGGAAACGATCGACGCGACTGTTATTTTACGATTTGATTTTTGCTACTGCCTTTTCGTCAATTCCCTAACCCTTTTTCGCACGTTCGTCCTTTGAGAGACGCTTATCAAAGTATCGGAAGAGAATCGTTTGTACATCCAAATCCATCGGGGGAAAAAGTTTAAGATCTTGTAAAATCGTTTGAATTTTCAGATCGAACTTGAGAAACCTCGAATTTGATTTTCAATTTGAAAATTTTAATTTCCGTATCGAACTCGCGTTTAAATCTGGATTTCGTTCGATTGCAAAGTATTGCAAGTTGCAAACAAACATACATATTTCTTTCTTCTACGATATTTATAAATTATATCTCGTACTTACCTTACGATTATTTATCAAATCAAATACGACAGTGTAGTAAATCCGACAATTTTACTTACCTTCGAATAAACCCATACTCTCACCGGTGTTTCACCGGGGAAAGAGTCAATTAGTCACCCTCGGTGCGAAAGTGATTTTGGCAGCGGGGACGTCTCAAAGAGCGAACACTTTGATCAAGCCGTCGGCACTTGACGCACTTCGGTCGTTCGCGGAATTCCATCGAATATTATTGTTAATCTCTTTACGTATCAACTAATTCTACCGATTACATCGTTGCTTTCAATCGTTACTTTACACCATTGTTAACCGTCCCATCTTACGAACGTTCAAGAGCAAAGTTCTTATAAAATGTTGGTAAAAATATTTTTCCACGTATACTGTAACAAAATGGACAGATATTTCACAGTCTTACGCACTTAACGTTCCTCGTATCAGGTTCGTTCGATTCTTAAGTCTTGAGAAAAATTACTTTTCACTTGCTCTCACGCACATCATCCGACGGAACTTCGATGAACGCAACTGGAAACCCTGGCTTCCGATTGTAACGCATCGAGGACGTGTCACTCTTTAACGATACTTGTTACATATGTATTAATCGATCTCAAATAACGGCCATCGTGTATAGCACTTACGTGTTGGAATAACGCGAGAACTATAAATATTTAATAGTTGGAACATTACATGTTATATATTTCGATATGTTTAAGTTATGATTTTATCGGTAATTAAATTCTAGGTATCTTTTCATCGTTCTTAACGTATTTGGTCCTAATTTAATTCAGTGGCAATTTTAATAAACGGTTTAAAATGATAATTTAGAAATTTCTTCATTTCTCTTTTAAGTCGCAACTTGTTTTAAACACGCGCGCTCGCTTTGAGAAAAAGGTATGTGCTGGCTGACGGTCGACGATCGAAAATGCGCGCGCTAGCCCTCTGGAAGCGGGAGTGCCCTCAAAGATGGCGCGACATCTTTTTTATCCGGGGGATGCACCTCGCGGGATCAATTCATTGGGCCGTGACTACGCGTGTGTACTATTAAAACAGTGCCGTACGCATTTAGGTATACAACTGGATGCACGGTGCACGCTGGACTCCCCACCGTACCGTGGACCAGCGTTCCTCCAACTTGCTACCCTTTCTTCCATCTTTCTCTCTCTGTTCGCGCCTCCCTTTCTATCCCTCTTTTCGTCTCACTCTCGTCGTCTCTCTCTTTCTCTTTGTTTCTCCGACTCCCTCTATCGTTCTGGATTCTGCAAAAGCTTTCGTCGTACCAACGCAGCCGCATAACCTCACGAGTTGCGCTTGTGGCAATGATTTCTAACGTAGGCGGTACTTAAGCCCCAGTTTCATCCCATCGTGACCTGATAAAGGCTTTCATCGGGATAACGCAACAATTATACGACGTTGTTCGCGTAGATTTCTATTCGGAAATGATTGGTATTAATCGTGAATAATTATATTTCTAGCTTTTATTCGATCGATCGTACGTTCACATTGAAAAATATGAGATTTTTACGGATTGTATCGGCGTTTTGCAGTCAGAAAGTTGAATAGAGGGTGGTTGAGAACCACTGAACTATGTATTACACCAAGCATTGTTATACGTCTAGATAACGCCTCCCGTTCTGATTGGTCGGTTGGGTGGTACCACATGCCACGCCTAGTGTCGACTCTATGTAAGTAACTATCCCCACCATAATTTTACTAGCACAGACGTACATACCAACCGTATCCGTTCGCTTCTTCTCGTTCTGTTTCATATGTATAATATGTCTCCAGCGTTGCTTCCGTTGCCGCCTCTCTTTGTCAACGGTCCTTTCCTCTTGTGTTTCTCTTTTTATTATTCCTGTTCGCCGCAGCAACTGGCTAGGTTATACGAATGTCTTATAT